CTCCCCCGTCCCCATGCCCCCAGCCCCTCCCCCCTCACACACCTCCTTGCCTGAGACTCCACACAACCAGCCCCCTCACTCAGCACAGCCCCGCACTCCCAGCCCCCTCACTCAGAGTTCCTGGGTGGCGGCAACCATGCGGCCTCCCCCTTCCTGGTGCTCCAGGGTGGCAGGAGTCAGGAGGACTTCCTCCTTCCCCCTCCCCAGTGCTCCAGGATGGTGGGAGCTGCGTGGCCTCCCCTTTTCCCACAGCCCCAGCCGCCTCACATACACCTCTAGCCAAGAACCTGTTCCCTTACCCACCCCTTCTACTGACACCCTGCAAACCCAGCCTGCTCCTGATCCCGCTTCCACCCTACTGGCCAGACACCTACCACTAGCCTGCTCCTGCATCCTTACCCCAGCTAGACACCTAGCCACAGAGAGGGGAGGGTTGGTGAGTACAGCAAGCAGGGGGTGCAGCCCCCTAGTGAAAGTTTAAACCTAGAGACTTTGATCTTTTTCCTTACAGATATTTTCAATTCAATATAGATTTAATAAGCAGACAGACAAGTTTTACTATTTAATCTCTTCAACAGCATCACTACTATCCATTAGTTTTTGTGTTATAACTAATAGGTGAAATATTACATTTGTATACATTAAGTCATGAATCTGGTTGTTAAATTAAGACAAACAGTTTTGGCACTTAACACACACAGTGCTTTTCATGCACACATTTTAATGTACTTTAGAAAGGAAGATAAATATTAATTTTATCTCCCCAAAAACATGCACCAAGAACAGATTTAGGGATCATCCATCCTTAATCCACTATTTGAAAAGATGCAAAATTGTGATCAGCAGCAAAAGGTCCCGAAATTGACGACTTCAACAATATTCAAGTGGTACGGTGTAAAGTTTTTAGGGGAAAATTGCCATCCCATCTTCCAGTACACTCTACTCAACAAAAATTACGTACTTCTTAAAAATTGATGTGATATTGCTAAGCATCATGAAGGTCTAAGAAACAAGAACAAAATTCCTATTTATCGTTATAGGACTTAAAGTAAGTATACATAAATGCTTTATTTTCTTTATTTGAATTTGCTGACCATGAAAATGAAACTAATACCTCTGGCTCGTGGCATCATTAATAGGAACATTACAAGAATTTTCAGACCATGTGTCATGATTATGAGGGTTAGCCAGCAGCCTGGGAATTAAGGGGTTAACTACACCTAGCCAGGTGGAGTGACCAGTAGGAATGTAGGTGGGACTTTTCCAACTGGGACAAAGGAATTTGGTTTTTTTTTTTTCTTTTCTCCCTTTTGTCTCTCTGAGAGAGCTCTCTGCAGCTACATAGAGGGACAAGCATGTCTCTCTCTCTCTCCAAGACATCATTCTTCATTTTCTGTAAGTAGGGTAAAGTTTAGGTAGTCTCGTTAGGTTTTATTGTTTTAAGGATTGGGTATGGGATCTGAGATCTGGCACTGCTTACAAGATGTTTTGGCTTTTCTTTGCAACTAAGTTCTAGGCCCATGGAGTTTCTCCATGAGTATATTTTGTTACCTCCCTATCTAGTCATTATGTTGCAACAGGAATATTGTTGTAATAATAAAAAGTTCTTTCTTTTCTTTTATTAACCTGGCAGTGGTTAATAGTGTGTCCTGATTTTTATTTTAGGGGTGAGATTTCCCAAATGATCTTTCCCCTGGTTTCTTTAGCAACATTTGGGCAGGCAGGCACTGCTTTCATGATCCCAAATCCCAGTGACAATACATATATTACAACAAAATTTTCACTAGGAAGATTCAGGATAGAATTTCTAGTAAAAAACCACAAAGAAAACTATCCAGAGTAGCCAAGCAGTATGTGGGAAATCAAGGATCAGTCCCTCCTCTGAAATCAGACAGAGATGGGATGTATCCAGATCTTCTACTTCTTAACTAATAACCCAGGGTATGTCTACACTACCCCGCTAGTTCGAACTAGCGGGGTAATGTAGGCATACCGCACTTGCAAATGAAGCCCGGGATTTGAATTTCCCGGGCTTCATTTGCATAAGCCGGGCGCCGCCATTTTTAAATCC